TTTTTAAACTTATTTCCTCAAAAACGATGGTAATGATTTGGAAGAAAAATATTTTGTTGTTATTTATTATGTGAAACCCCAACTTTCAAATTGAATGCAATACCTCAGTTTCAAAATCGACCTGCCCTACTGTGCACTACAAGTTGTTATAAAGCCAAAACCTAAAATCTTGAGTCATGTTCTTCCTTGCAAAATTGTAAAAGATTAAAAAAAAAGGGCTACTCAAAGATTTTTTTGATCATTTGTTCGATCATAATTAATAAAAACAAAAAATAGATAAAAGTGTATATAACACCCTAATACTGCTGGGCACAAATTATGAATTATTTTGTGATTTTTTATCCCAATTTTTAAATTGGGTGTAATAATCGACCAGCCCTTTTGAGACATGGCTCATCACAAGACGGGCCGTATTACTAAAAAGATTCAAGGTAATTTTTCGTAGTAGCTACGGCAGCCATTTTCACAAACGAAGGCCATATGCGTAAGCATATACCTTAGAAATGGGGGGAAAAAAGTGATTTTTTTTTTTTTTGGAGAGAAGATTTTCCTATAATTAAAAAATTAAAGTCTTGCCTTAATATTATCACTGATGACAGTGTGATCAACACAAGGCACTGCGTACGATTTTTTTTATAATTCATTCATTTGAAAATAGAAACGTATATTTCTTCTTTATAGAAAAACTATTATGTTTCATAAGTGAAGGATGTGTACACGTATGATCTTCCTTAATGAAAATCACCAATAGATTAAAATTATTTAAACGCTATTTTCATCGAATGTTTACAAAATTCAAGAAACATTGTAATTCATCACTGTTTATGTATGTGGTTATATATGAGAGAGTGTGTGGGTGAACAAGTGAGAACGAAAGAAAAAATTTAAGAAACGTTGTTCTTATGAAATTAAGCGCGCCAATCAGAAAGACCAAATGAGTGGAATGTAGCACGCGGGCCGCTGTTTATCCATGACTGGTATAAAATAATATTTTAAACGTATTCTTAATTTATTAAACAACCAGAAAAGGAAATATAACGTCGCTTTGTAACTTGCACAAGCAATCCCTGTCCATTTCGTCCCAACCCCGCTGGACAATTCTGTCCTCATCGTCACCAACTTCTGACAGTCACAGCTGGTCTTTGTGGACAGTAAAATCGGGTCAGACTGTCAGCTGATGGTAAGATTATGGTGGAGGCTACGTCTTAGATTGGCGATGGGAGTAGAAGGGTAGGCGGTTTATGGGGACACGGCTACGTGAGGCTCAGATTACAGTAGAAGCGAGTGACACGTCTCAAACGATATGGCGTCGTGATGTCCGGGGATTTTGACCAGACTAAGATCCATATCTCAAATATGCCCTCCTTTTAGTAGCATTGGGTAGTGATTGCGATTGGAACCGTAATCATACGCGTGACATACACGCATTATTTACTTCTTTTTTTTTAAAGCATTTCACCCCCAAGCAAGGTGGGAAGCCACTAGCACACAGGGGGTTACAGAGGATTTGGAACGAGAGTAGATAGGAGTGATAGAGGAAAAGATGAGGAGAAGGATAGCGGATAGATCAAGGCAACTGGAGATGTCGATTGACATTACATTTGATATATATATATATATATATATATATATATATATATATATAAATTCAAATATATATATATATATATATATATATATATATATATATATATATATTTATAAGCATTTCACCCCAAGCAAGGCTGGAAGCCAGTAGCACGCAAGGGGTTACAGAGGATTTGGAACGAGAGCAGATAGGAGTGATAGAGGAAAGGATGGGAGAAGGATAGTGGATAGATCAAGGCAACTGGAGATGTCGATTGACATTACATTTGAATAGGATATATATATATATATATATATATATATATATATATATATATATATATATATATTATAAGCATTTCACCCAAGCAAGGCTGGAAGCCAGTAGCACGCAAGGGGTTACAGAGGATTTGGAACGAGAGCAGATAGGTGTGATAGAGGAAAGGATGGGGGAGAAGGATAGGGATAGATCAAGACAACTGGAGATGTTGATTGACATTACATTTGAATAGTTGGAGATTATAGCTATCAGGGAAACAGGAAAATGGAAGGGAGTTCCACAGGTGAGAGGTGCGAGATATGAAGCTATTGAAGTAGAAGAGACGGCTACATTTAGGAGTTTCGACAGTGAAAGGGTGAGAGCGGGATGCCAGCCTCGTAGGCGCTTGAACTCATGAAGTCTGGGAACCAGCGAATGCAGCTCCTCGGAGCAATTGCCATGAAAGTATTTGTAAAAAAGGCAGAGAGAGGCGACCGCACGTCTGTGAGAAAGTGACTGTAGACGAGATGCTAGATCAGGGCCAATTATATTGCATATCCGTCTCTGGATCTTATCAAGAACCCCGAAGCAAACAAAAGGGGCTCCATACAATATATGGCAGCAATACTCCATGCAAGGGCGAATAGTTGATTTGTAGATTTGAAGGATCGACTCCGGCGAGAAATATTTCCTGGCGTGGCACAGGGAGCCGACTTTCCTTGCAGTGGACGAAGCAATTGACATAATGTATTTGTTCCATCTTAGGTCAGCAGACAATGTGAGACCGAGCAGCCGTCTGGCAGCAATACTCCATATCTAACATTTTTATTTGTATAAATTTACATACATTTACAATTATTATAGTGGATACTCGTATTTGAAATAGATCCCCACCCTTTTTTTTAAACAGTATATATTATCTTACAATTCAAATTTCATGTCAATCCTGTTAACCTCGAAGCAATGTTAATTTACCGAAAAGTAGGACTGACTTCAAAAATCAAATGTGATTACAGCGAGGCAATTCTGAGAGAATTGGAGATTCTACAGGGATTCAGCATTGGCGGCCACAATCTTACCAACATAAGATATGCAGATGACACAGTACTGATAGCAGACACGGAAAAGAAATCACAAAGTCTCCGACAGAAGGTAGCGAAGGAGAGCGAAAAGAAAGGACTAAGCATAAACTACAAGAAGACAGAATGCATGGTCATTAGTAAGAGGAAGAGCCCGAAAATTAAGCATGTGCGGAAGTTTAAATATCTGAGAAGTCTTTTCACAGAGGACGGTAAGTGTAACCCTGAAATCCGAAGACGTATTGGGATGGCCAAGGACGCATTCCAAAAGCTAGGCAGAGTATTACGAGGCAGGAGGATATCTTTAGTAATAAAGAAAAGAGTAGTGAGCTGCTACGTGGCATCTGTCCTCCTATACGGCAGCGAATGTTGGACGGTCTCCTCAGAGATGAAGAAAAGACTCGAGACAGCAGAGATGTGGTTCTACAGAAGGATGCTAAGGATATAATGAACCAAGCGTGTGAGCAACGATGAGGTTTTGGAGAGCATGCAAACAAGGAGGAAGCTTATACTTAACATAAGTCAGAGGCTGATGAAATTTCTGGGACACGTGATGAGAAAGGAGGACCTGGAGAATCTGATACTCACAGGTCGAATAGAGGAAAAAAGAGACATGAGAAAGCAACGCATAACATACCTCTATCTGTCCTGTGAGTATCAGATTTTCCAAGCCCTCCTTCCTCATTACTTGTCCGAGAATTTTCAGCTTCCTGGTGTTAAGTGTAAGTTTCTTCTTTGTTTGCATCCTCTCCAAAATCCTCATCGTTGCTGACATGTTAGGTCCACGGTATCCTCAGCATCTTTCTGTGGAACTACACCTCTGTTGCCTTGACACTTATTTCATGCTCACAAATTGATGCCATATTTAGTTATACATAATTATGAATGATTACTTGAAACTAATTCATGCTGCAACACTCTGCAGGAAATTCTCTACAAATTCCAATGAGAACATGTTCTTTTCATATAATATAATAACAGATAAATGGTTTTTACACCTAATCTTATCTTATAAGAGAGTGAAATTTTTTTTTCCACAGGATTTTTGACATCGATTCACACTTTATATATACTTATGAATACAACTCTCTGAGTTTCTTTTTTTTTTATTATTTTCCTCTATTTCTTTCTTTTTTTCTTTCTTTCGTTCTTTCGTCCTTTCTTTCTTAGCCTCGTTCACATTCTTTCTTATGTTATTCACATTTTCTTTCTTTCTTTTTCTTTCTTTCGTTCGTTCGTTCTTTCTTTCTTTCTTTCTTAGCCTCGTTCACATTCTTTCTTCTATGTTATTCACAATTTCTTTCTTTCTTTCTTTTTCTTTCTTTCGTTCTTTCGTTCGTTATTTCTTTCTTTCTTTCTTCCTAAGCCTCGTTCACTTTCTTCCTTCCTTTATCTATCTTTCTTCCTTTCGTTCTTTCTTTCTTTCTTTCTTAGCCTCGTACACATTTTTTTCTTCAAAGTTTTCTTTCTTTCTTTATTTCTTTCTTTCTTCCTTCCTTCCTTCCTTCCTTAGCTTCGTTCACATTATTTCTTCTATGTTATCTACACTTTCTTTCTTTCTTTTACTTTCTTTCGTTAGTTCGTTCGTTCGTTATTTCTTTCTTTCTTCCTTAGCCTCGTTCACATTCTTTCTTCCATGTTATCCACACTTACTTTCTTTTTTTTATCTTTCTTTCGTACGTTCGTTCTTTCTTTCTTAGCCTCGTTCACATTCTTTCTTCAATGTTATCCACATTTTCTTTCTTTCTTTTTTTCTTAACTTCACTCATATTCTTTCTTTCTTTATACTTCACTCATATTCTTTCTTTCTTTCTTTCAGCCTTTTTTTAATTTGAACAACTTCGTTTATTACATTTTTGAAAACTGAAAACTACCCTCCCGTTTATTCAGAAAACAAGAGCAATGCAATTGAAACTGGTGTCATAATCTTTGATTCTTTTCTAAGAACAAGAAACGGAAGTAAAAAACAAAGTTAGCTGTGTCGTTGAGTTCATGAAATGATGTGAAAACGAGGCTGTGTCACTGTTACATTGTTTCTTCTACTTTTTTTTCACGCTTTCGTTTCAGTTTATAATTAGCAGAAGGATGTCGGCTGGTTATAGGCGGACGCTATGAGATGCCCTTCTTACAGTGAACTCATCTCCGGCTCGAACAATGAAAAGAGCAATTTCCGTTTTATTTTTTTTTTTATTAGGGCTTTCAGTAACTTTTCTCGCACAATTCGAAATTTGCTCAACAGCTTTCCAGTGTTTAATCAGAACACAAATCTGTCTAGTGGTTGAGATAGGTGTGTAATTTTCACTGAAGAAAGAAAGAAAGAAGCGAAGAAATAATGAATCTAATAAGAAAGAACGAAAAGGAATATTTATTTATACTATTTACATTGTACGGACTGTTGCCCTCATCTTTGTTGGCATATTCACAACGTGAGACTAAGAAAGAAAGAAAGAAAGAAAGAAAGAAAGAAAGAAAGAAAGAAAGAAAGAAAGAAAGAAACCAGGTAAAAAAAAATGTGAATTTGAGGAAGCTAAGAAGAATGTGAATTTCGGAAAAAGAAAGAAAGAAAGAAAGAAAGAAAGAAAGAAAGAAAGAATGTGATTTTAGTGAAGCTAAGAAAGAAAGAAAGAAAGAAAGAAAGAAAGAAAGAAAGAAAGAAAGAAAGAAAGAAAGAAAGAAAGAAAGAAAGAAAGCAAGTGAAGGAAAGAAAGAAAAAAACAAAAAGTGTGAATTTGAGGAAGCTGAAAAAAAGAAGAATGCTAAAAGAAAGAAAGAAAGAAAGAAAGAAAGAAAGAAAGAAAGAAAGAAAGCAAGAAAGAAGGAAAGAAAGAAACAAACAAAAAGTTAAAAAAAACAATGTGAATTTGAGGAAGCTAAGAAAAAAGAAGAATGTGAATTTCGGAAAAGAAAGAAAGAAAGAAAGAAAGAAAGAAAGAAAGAAAGAAAGAAAGAAAGAAAGAAAGAAAGAAAGAAAGAAAGAAAGAAATGGAACGTAATTTGAGGAAGAAAGTGTTTCGGAAAAAAAGAAAGGGAAAGAAAAAAGAAAGAAAGAATGAAGAAAAAAGAAAAAAGAAAGAAATATAATGGTTTGAAATTAGGGAAGCTAAAGAAATAAAAAAAAAAAAAAGAAGGGCAACGAAGAAATAAAGAAAGAAACAGGGCAACGAAATGTAGCTAACTAACATAGAAGAAAGAATATGAACGATAAGAAAGAAACAAAGAAACAAAGAGAAATTTACGATTTTGCTAAATTTCTCTAAACGCGCAATAATATCAACACTTCAAGTGGCTCAAACGAAACCCAACCACACCATTTTGATAAAAAGAACATTACTTTTCTCTGCTGTCATATAAAATAGTTCTCGACAATCGAAAATTTTTTCACTCCTCCATCTCTTTTGCTCGGTCCGTCACTCTATCCAGGAAGGAGGCGTGTGATCAAAAGCAGACGATCAACATTCCTCACCAACGCTGTCATTGTTAAAGGGTACAATAGCATATTTTTTCGTTTACATAATAGCAATACACCTTTCACACCTACGAAACATACAAGATTCTATTCTTCAATCAAGGTTTTCCGAAGACTTATCGACCTGTCAAACAGTTCTCGATGTATTCAACCAATTCTGTTAAATTGTCCTTTCTGATTGCTAAAGACGCCAACGTTTTTAAAAACAAACACGTAACTCGGTTAAGTGTATGAACAACGAACATAAATATCAAGCGGCTTTGTTTAATCGGTATTTGGGAAAATTTGGCGCAGGTTCTGAAGTAGAAATCCACCGATATATGAAACAAAAGTCGCCAATAAGAAAGTGGGAAAGAAAACTGCGTGTAGATGCTGCTTTATATGTATGATATATAGCATTACCTATGAACAAATACGTTATTAACTAATGAGGCGTTCAGATGGGACTTTTCTCGATAAGCCTTAATTTTGAGTCTGTTTATGTCGACGCTGTACCTGTCACAGGGCAATAAAAATAGTCAGTTATGTCTGTCCTGCGATTTACACATTGCAGCGTGGGGAGAAGAAGAGGATTCATACCTTTCCCAAGGGTATAAGCACGTAAGTTAACGTAATGGATTTGACTGAAAATATTAATTTAAAAAAAATAACATTAGACTCCGAAACGACACGTGACCAACCAAAACTCCGGACGAAGAAGAACTTTAGACACTGAAGCGCCTCATAACCAACCAAAAGACTCCGAAGTTCGGAGTTTTTGGTTGGTTGTGGGGGCGGGGAGTACAACAGATGTAAAAAAAAACCAAGATTTTCTAAAAATAAAAATTTCAAAAATAAATTCATTCATTTTTTAATAAGTCCTGAAAGTTTCATTAAAATTAGACAATTATTTGATTTTTAATTAAAATTAGACAATTATTTGATTTTTGAAAGAATTTCCAAATTAATGGGTTTCCCCACTCAAACTGCTACACTAAAAAATGGCGATGACCACAAGTATTAGAAAGTTAACAAAAAAAAAACGAGATTTTTTACCCAAATTTAGAACGTGTTAGAAAGAAGGAAAAAATTTTTTTTAAATATCTAAAATATACTTTGTTCTTTCCTCTTAATAATAACATAAACATTTTAATGATGAAACTTTGTTTTTATTAAGTTTCGGCCCTTTTATCATTATACTATACTGATTTTTTAGCGAATTATTGGAGGTACCTACTCCGAACGACATAACTAAAAACGGACAGACTCAGATCGCTGCTCCCAAAATTCCTCTTTCAGCATTCCTCACCAACAACATTCTTCGCGATGACTTCGAATGACCTTTCAACTCTTGACAGGTCAAAACATTAAGCACAACTCGTGAACTACCCTCTACGCCATTACCAAAGACATTTTTAAATTTTATCACATGTACGGGCCTCACTTTCACAAATAATCTTACTTTACCTAGCTATGTTTAATATTCTTTTTCTACGTGCCGTCTCCCTTAGGAAGCGGGCGATCATGGTTCTCCACAATTTCCTATCCCATCCCGTGTAGCTCTTAATAAATTTTGTTTTTTGGCTATTGGCTCTAATCCCTGTTCTGCCAACCATTTACACAAGCTTTGATAGGTTATTTATTGCTTTGATATGCCTCTCTTGCCTTCAGCAGGCCATGTGAGTGTTAAATTTTCCAAGCCCGCTTTCCTCATTATGTGCCCTAGAAATTTCAAATCTCTCTTTCTGATTTTAAATGTGTCCTTTTTGTTTCTACGTATTTTCTCTAATTCTTCGCCGTTCCACACATGTTCAGCTCATGGTATTTTCAGCATTCTTTTCTGTTACCCCAAGACTCGTCCTTATCTATGAAGAGATTATCCAGCATTTGCTGCCATATAGAAGGACAGAGGCGCTCAAAAGAATATTTCGAGCAAGCCTTTAAATCAGTGACCCACCAATTTTTATTTTATTTTTTCTACATGGATTTATTTTTCCATATATTTTTCATTCTTTATTAAAAGAATAGTGATTTTCCAAGCGTAGCTTAGATGTGGCACAAGGCCGAAAGTATGGGGCACCCAGTGAGGATCGAACTCACTACTCAGTCGTAATTGTTCTAGCGAGACAAGCTTGCTAACCACTACACCGCCTCGAGGTGCCCAAAGTGATTTTCCAAGCGTAGCTTAGATGTGGCACAAGGCCAAAAGTATGGAGCACCTAGTAAGGATTGAACTCACTACTCAGTCGTAATTGTTCTAGCAAGACAAGCTTGCTAACGATTACACCGCGTCGAGGTGCCCCAAATGATTTTCTAAGCACAGATTAGATGTGGCACAAAGCCGAAAGTATGGGCACCCAGTGAGGATCAAACTCACTGCTAAGTCGTAATTGTTCTAGCGAGACAAGCTTGCTAACCATTACACCGCCTCAAGTTGCCCTAAAGTGATTTTCCAAGCGTAGCTCATATGTGGCACAAGGCCGAATGTAGGAGGCATCCAGTGAGGGTCGACCTCACTACTAAATTGGTAAAAGTTCTAGGAAGACAACCTTGCTGACCATTAGGCCACGTCGAATTGTCCCTTTCTAAGAAGAATATTCACAGCTAAAAATAAGTTTATTGCCAGAGCTTGAATAAACAGCCTCCCCCCAGCTGAGTCATAAAAGCTTCTCACGTAGATCATGTCGACTTTGGAGATGACCGTGAGAGTTATTAGTTAATCCTTAGCGAAGTCGGTATGAGATCTTGACTAGCCCATGGTAGGTTGGTGAGAGTTCACACGTAGGCCGGCTTGACGTAAAGGGTGAATGAAAACCCGGCTGAAATGTATGGCGGTAGCAGATCAAGACAAAAATCATCAATTGGTAGAAATACATGACTCTTGTTTATAGGACCAAGCAAGGATTTGAGATCTGAGCAATTTGTCTTTTATACAAATAAAGTGGATCCAGGGTCTTATTGATCATACCTAGGGCCGGTGCCTACTACCCTCGTACCCCCCACCACCAAAGGAGTGCAAACCTGATTGGTGATCCCGGGCAGTGCTTTGTGACCCTTGCTATCTTATCAACGTTTGTTTTGTTTTGTTTTTTTCTACCTACATTTATATACGTTACAAATTAAATTAAGAACAATTGACTATTAAAGGATGAAAAATTTCGAGTATTTTAACGTTATTCTGGGGTCTTTTTGTTTCGTCCAAATCTGTATATGATGCATTATTGTAAATAATTACAATAAAATTTATATTTTATATGAATACTACCTCGTGAAAATTGATATATAGAGTAGAGGGTGGGTGTACATAGATTCAGGGTGTATCATAGATTCGGAGGGGGGACACGAAACCATTACACCTGCCCTGACCAGATCTGTTTATTGTCTTGTACGCATGTGCACATACACAAAAATTCTTCTCTCTTTCTCTCTCTCTCTCTCTCTCTGATACAAAAAAAACGCGCACAGATGCACAGACATACACACACACTCACACACGAACGCACACATACATACACACACAGATGTCCGAAACGACGAAACAAGAAACTTTGTCATACTTATAATGGTGCACATTGAGTGCTAGTAGTAATAAAACAGTGCTCAATAAAAAATAACAGCTAAAACTTATACTACTAATAATAAATATATATTTTGCTCCTCACCTTTAAAAAAAAAACTTTCAACACACCAATACCACTGTTTAATAAGGTGATGTTGATAGTGGGAGTGAGATGTTTTATATACAGGGCCGCTCTCACAGCGAGATGTTTCCGGTAATTTAATTTATATAGAATGTTTTTAATATATTTCATTGTTATACGTTATTTACAGAGACACAAATATTTAAGTAAATGCTCTGTTTATAAAAAACAGTATTAACAACATTTAGCGGCCTGAATGTCCGAAAAAATTTCAGAGAAAATATGTGTCCTCCGACAGGATTCGAACCTGTATCCTACACGGAACCGTCATATAGACTAACATATACTGGTTAAGCTACGAAGGTTGCGTCTGGTGCGAATTACTGCTTTTAAACAACAAATTTCCCAAGATTTCCCTCGAACGTTCATATCTGCTCGAAGCGTATCTTAACGTAAACAAATGACGTCATATATTATGAAATGACAAAGTCCGACAATTATTTTAAGATATTTTTTGTTTATACGTTTATTATAAACAGAGCATTTACTTAAATATTTCTGTGTATATAAATAACTAAACTGGTAAAGCATGTCTGGCTTTATGACTGTTCTGTGTAAGATACAGGTTCGATTCCTGTCGGTGTAGGTATATTTTCTATGAAATTTCTCAGACGTTCAGGCCGGTAAATGTTGTTAGTACTGTTTATTATAAACAGAGCATTTACTTAAATATTTGTCTCTATATAAATAACGTATAACAATAAAACAATTTTCAGACTTAGTCCATTTCATAATATATAGAATGATTTTGTTCAGACCACAATTTTCCTTAAGGTATCTTGTAAATCGTGGGTAGCTAGATGCTTTGTTTTTTTTATGGCACTTTGATTTGATAAGTGGCATGTGAGGCATCTACTCAAGGAGGTAGTAGTATGCCCGATATAGGTTATTTTATGACAAGTCTTGTACTGGAGAGTGAAATTGATACACTATAATGGTCATCGCTAATTTAGATTTGATGGGGTTATGTTGATTGGTGACAAGAAGGTTTTCGGTTTTCCATTTTTTATAATATAAGTTTAACATTTTTTCGGAATTTACCGAAGAAATATGGTGTTAAATAATTCTTCGGAGAGCGAATTCGTCATGCTTCTAGTTAATGCGTATCTTGTTGCAACAAAATATTTCTTTATTTCTGTCGCTCTCTCTTTTCTCGTTTATTGTCTCTCTAATTCTCTCTATTTCTCTCTCTATCTTTCTGTCGTCGTCGCTTACTCTCTGTCTCTCTTACTCTGTCTCTCTCTGTCGCTCTCTTTTACTCTGTTTCTCTTTTTCTTTCTCTGTTTTTTTCTGTTACTCTCTCCCTCTCTTACTCTATCTTTTTGGCTCTTTTGTTCTGCCAAACTCTCTCTCTTAATCTGTTTCTCTATTTCTTTCTTTCTCTCTCTCTCTCTCTCTCTTTTTTGGCTTTGTCTCTTTTTATCTGTTGTCTCTGCCAAACTCTCTCTTAATTTCTGTTTTTCTTTTCTTTCTTTCTTTCTTTCTCTCTCTCTCTCTCTCTCTCTCTCTCTCTCTCTCTCTCTCTCTCTGATTTTCTGTCCCTGTCACTTTGTCTTACTATATCTTTTTATCTGTCTTGCTGACTTTTTGTCTCTGCCAAACTCTCTCTTACTCTTTCTTTCTTTCTTTCTTTCTTTCTTTCTTTCTTTCTTTCTTTCTTTCTTTCTTTCTCTCTTTCTCTCTGATTTTCTTATCACTTTGTCTTACTATATCTTTTATCTGTCTTGCTGATTTTTTCTCCAAACTCTTTCTTTCTTTCTTTACTCTTTCTTTCTTTTTTTCTCTGTCTCTCTCTCTCTCTGTCTTTATGTTTTACTGTCTGTTTTTCTCCTATTTCTTTTTCTATGTCCTTCTGTCTGTCTGTCTGTCTGTCTTATTCTCACCCTTTGTCTCCCTTGCTCTCTTTTTGTCTGCCTAACTCTCTCTTACTCTGTCTGTCTCTTTCTTTTATCTCTCGTTCTTTGTCTCTCTCTCTCTCTCTCTCTCTCTCTGACTTTCTGCTTCCATCTGTCCGTCTTTCCCCTGCCCTATACTCTTCGTTTTTCTATGTCTGTCTGTTTCTCTCTCTTTGTCTCTCTTGCTCTTTGTCTCTCTTTGTCTCTGCCAAACACTCTCTTACTCTGTCTCACTCTCTTTTTTACCTCTCTTTCTCTCTCTCTCACTCTCTCTCTCTCTCACTCTCTCTGACTTTCTGCTTCCTTCGGTCCGTCTTTCTCCTGCCCTATACGCTTCGTTTTTCTATGTCTGTCTCTCTCTCTCTCTCTCTTTGTCTCTCTTTCTCTCTTTTTGTCCCTGCCAAACTCTCTCTTTGTCTCTCTTTTTGTCCCTGCCAAACTCTCCCTCTCTTTGTCTCTCTTTTTGTCCCTGCCAAACTCTCTCTTACTCTTGTCTCCCTCTCAATCTGTTCTTTGTCTAGCTGTACATTTTCGTTTTTCAGCCAACAAAAATAACGAAAGGACGATTTCTGACCTTCTCAACTATCAAGCTGACATCAATTGGATGAATTACAAAGAATTATTTTTTGGAGATGGTGGGCATATTCTGGGGTGGCTGGGTTCATTATCGCTCGGTGTCAGCTGTACCATTCAGACACGATAACAATAAATTTTGTTGCAATGATTATGTCCAGGTCATCATTTTTATCTAGTAATAAGTAACATGCACAAATGGAGGGCAGAGGGTGCGACGGCCCCAGATCCTCCATATCGGGAAGGCAACAAATCAAATTGTGAAATAAAAATTTAGTTTATATTTAATGTGAATAAAGCGTTTATTTCAAGTTTTATCTATTTAAACATTTAAAATGTCTTCCTTTCTTACATTTCTCAGTACTAGGCCCTATAGTCCATCCTTTGTTTAGTCTTAGGGGCATGAAATTAAGAAGTTGTCTCCCGGGCATCACCAAACCTCTGCACGTCACTGGGTGAGACCAATATATTAATCATACTTATTATAAAACCCAGGTTGTGCGTGTGTGTGTGTGTGTGTGTTCCTTTATATATGGGATCGGATTTCCTACATTTTTCAACCGATTTCAACAAAACTTCACTTTTTTTGGCAGGTAGTGTTTCTTATTGTCTTGCACACTTTTTTCTTTATTTTTACATTCAGAATGCTTTAAAAATTCCATTTACAAGACAATTGTTTATAATAAAATTCTATTCAATCGATAGACTCATAACAATTGAAAACAATGTTTTTGTTTGAGTTTGGATTTGACCAATTCGTAAAATAAAAAAAAACTAATTAAGACATGCGTGTCCGTCAACCTTAAACAATAATCTTTGTCAATTTTACTTTTCAGTCTTTATGGTGGTCGATACTTGATCTATCTCTTACTGTTACATCCCCGGGCAACGCCAGGCTCTACTGCTAGTGTCAACTAAAACTGTTATTTAATTTACATAAATACTGAATTAATCATTGTTACACGGTTCTCGTGGGAACTCGTACAGTGGGCTATGATAAGTTTTTAGCCACCCTTCATTACAGCAATTACCCTTGTGTAATAACGTCTCTTCTTTTTTTTTCAGACAATAACGTGTTAGTATCAAGCTTCTCATCTATGAACGATAGTTGACTTATATTTTGCAATGAAAGTTCGCAGAAATAAGAAAATTGGTGAATTTCAACGAGGGCAAATAATAGGATGGCATCAGTGTGGCAAGTCAAATAGAGAAATTGCTAGGTTTTTCCAGGTTAATAACCAAAGGGTTAATAATATTGTCTAGACATTTAATGAAGAAGGCCATTGTCTTCTGGAACAACGTTCAGGAAGTCCAAGCATCATGTCTGAGTGAACGAAAAGGGCACTGAATAGAGAAGTCATCAGAAACCGTCGTCAGAGCGTCAAAGATGTCGACAAGAGTATGGAGATGTCACCATATGCGGTGAGAAAGACTCTGAAAGAACTAGGCTATCAAAGAAGAGTTGCAAGGAAGAAATCCTTGATTTCAGAGATTAACAGGAACAGGCGTATGGACTGGGTGAATGAATTCAAGAGCAAAGATTTTGAATTTTGGCAGTCTGTAATTTGGTCAGATGAAAGTAAATTCTGCCAATATACTAATTCGAGATTGTTTTATGTTTGGAGAAATCAGAATGAGACTTGGAACACTGAATGTCTGCAGGCAACCGTGAAACATGGAGGAATTGAAGTAATGGTGTGGGGCGCTGTCTGGTTTGGAGGGAAATCTGATTCTTGTTGACGAGCGGTTGAATGGTCCAAAATACTGTCAAATATTAGAGAAAGGACTACTCCCACTATTTGAAACCAATCAGATTGACAAGAATATCCAAATGTAAACAAGTGACGTCACACATTATTGTATCTATAAAAAGAATGTATAAAGATAAAAATGTCCTAAAATAATTGTCGGACTTTCATAATGTGTGACGTCATTTTTTACATTTGGATACGCATCGAGCAGATATGAATATACGTAAGAGAATCATGGAAGATTGTAGTTTAAAGACAGTAAAATCGACCTTGCTAACCGAACGCTCCTCTGTGGCCAAATTGGTTAAAGGCACGTCAGGCTATATATACAGGTTCGTAGGATGAATATTTTCTACGAAAATTTCTCGGACATTCAGGCCGGTAAATGTTGTTTAATACTGTTTATTATAAAACAGAGCATTTACTTAAATATTTGTATCTATAAAAAGAATGTATAAACATAAAAATGTCTTAAAATAAAAGTGTATATGACGCCATAATAGTTCTGGGCACAAATTATAAAACAAAATTGTTTATTGAAAATCACACTAAAAGTACCAAACTGTACTAAATATAACTCTTCTCATCCCCTCATAGCAGGACAGACCGGGTTCTATAGCCTTGGCTGGCAACTGGTCTACCTCAGAAAGAAATGGGAACCTACTGAAAGATACATGATCGCCGAAGCGTGTATCATGCATGGCACTTAACTGACTGAAATATACTTACGTACTAATAGCCTTGGGAAAGGTATGACTCCCCTTCTTTTCCTCCTAGCTATGGGTAAATAGGATAGATCGGGTTCTACAGCCTTGGATGGCAACTGGTATACTGCAGAAAGAAATGGCAACCTACTGCGGGAATAAAAATCTGCCTAGTTAGTCATGTATCGAAAGATACATGATCACCTAAGCGTGTATCATGCATGGCATTGATAGATCGGTTTCTACAGGATTGTATGGCGACTGGTCTACTGAAAAAATAAATGGTAACCTACTGCGGGGAAAAATCTGCCTCGTCAGTCATGAATCGAAAGATACATGATCGCCTAAGCGTGTATCATGCATGTCACATAATTGATAAATTAAAAGAAAGATAGACAGCTTATTACAGACAGTTTTTGTGTATTATTTTTTTTTTTTATTTAAAATTGGCTCTAAAATGAGCGCCGAAAATAACTGTCATTACCCACGTATTTTTGTCCAGTGAAAAAAGGTGGCTTATGCTCTCGTAAATTTAAAGTTGAAACTCGTTTGATCCCCCCCCCAAAGGATATTTAAAAGGGGTCAGGGGATGCACGACAGAAGAGGCGTTAAACGGCAGAAGGGATTAGAGGTCGATGAGCAGAAGGGAATACATCACAGTGAAGGAATGAGAGGGCAGCTTGATTTTTCACTTTTTCAGAAAATCAACATTGCACTCCCTGTTGAAGCTGTGGCTTGATGGGATAGGTATTGGCAACAGAAATTGGATTCATAGCTTTTACTAATTTTTAAGCATTCAATTTTAAAGATACATTTTATTTGTTGTTCAAGCCATAAAACTATGTTCAAAATATCTAGATTTCGGCATTCATTAACCCACAGAGATGTTGATATGCCGCTAAACAAAATAAACCAATCAAGGAGTAGAGGTTTACAGACAGATTGAGGATACAGTGCCTCCGAGAGCTGTACACTAGAGCAGGTTGATTTTTCCTCTTTTTTTTTTTTTTTTTTTTTTTTTAGGAAAATCAACATTGCACTCAGTATGAAAGCTGGGGTTTGATGCAATAAGTACTGACACCAGAAATTAGTTTCATAGCTTTTATAAATTGTTGAGCATTTAAAGATTGTCTGAAAAAATGTACAGAAATATAAAATTTCTGCAGGTTTTTGCCTCCAAACTGATTGCAATATTTTACTTTTTCAAGAATGAATCCAAATAAGTTGATATCTTTTGTATCCGATGCATTCAATGGAAATATTATAATTTATATTATAATAAATAATTATAATAAATAATTTATATTATAATAAATAATTATAATAAATAATTATGTATCACCATAAGCAAAATATGCTTTTTTTTCTGTATTCAATAAGTAAAAACTGTGTGAAAAATATTGTAAATAATTCCAAAAAAGGCTACTCAATAAATAATATTTGCTAGATCATAATTAATAAAAACAAAAATAGATAAAAGTTTATATAACCCCATAATACTGCTGGGTACAAATTATAAAACAAAATTGTTTACTGAAAATCACACTAAAAGTACCACACTGTATAACATATAACTTCATAATATAGCTAAATTATTCAGTATAATTTCCCTTTGAAGTAAATGAAGGTCCTATTTGATGGCATAAAATTAGTAATAATGTGCTTGTGCCATGTATCTTGTCCATCTTTGTAGAGCTTCAGAAAATTTTAAAATTCATAAGGCTGCTGTATAAGGCTTACATTGATCACCGAAATCAAAATTCAACTCCACGATTTTGAACCTAAACTTTAAATTCGTTTCCTCAAAA